CGGAGTCCAACAGACTGGACTACCGGCAGCCCCCTGTCACTCCTGCCAGAAGAAGGTCCCAAACCATGCACACAGGCGGCAATAGAGTGATGGTCGTTAACACTGCGGGATGGAGCAGCGCATCTCCTCGGCAGCTTCCATTGCGACTGAGCAGCTTCACACTGCTCACCCCTGCGATGGGGAGGGACCTAGAAAAAGTGGTCTAAAAATTGTCTGCTCTCCACACTCCGGACGGTAAACCACAATCGTCTGAGCATCCGCCTTGCGGTCGAAATTACAAAAAACGAAATAGAAAAAATCTACGCATAGCTTCGTGGAACGTCCGCACACTGTTGGACCTGGCTGAAACTCCTGACAGGCCCCACCGGAGGACAGCACTGGCCACAGAGCTCGCAAGGTATAACATCGACATCGTAGCGCTCAGCAAGACCAGACTACATGGAGAGGACTCCCTGACAGAAGCTGGTGCAGGGTATACCTTCTTCTGGAAAGGGGTCCCTGAAGGCACTCGTCGAAACCATGGAGTTGGCTTTGCTGTGAAGTCCCAAATGCTGCAGCGCATCCCGGAATCCCCTACCGGCATCAATGAAAGGCTGATCACATGGCGCATTCCCCTGGCAAAGGAATACTTTGCCACAGTCATCAGTGCTTACGCACCAACTTTGAATCCCAAGCAAAATATTAAGGAGGATTTCTACAGAGCTCTGGACACCATCCTGCAGAAAACACCGGCTACGGACAAGCTCATAGTTATGGGAGATTTCAATGCTAGGGTGGGCACAGAACACCTGGTTTGTTATTGGCCAGCATGGCATGGGAAAAATGAACATCTAGGCCTTCGGCTCCTCTCCCTCTGTGCAGAACATCAGTTGGTCATCACTAACACCATCTTCCAAATGAAGAACAGGTTTAAGACCACTTGGCAGCACCCCGGCTCCAAACACTGGCATTGTCCATCAAAAGGACACACAGGATGTCCTCATCACCCGTGTCATGCGCAGAGCTGAGTGTTGGACTGACCACCTCATGGTCAGATCCAAACCCCTCATGAGCATTCAACCCCGTCGTCCAAGGACAGCTCCCAGCAAAAGGCTCAGCTGTGCAGCACTGAACAACCCCACCACAAAAGCCAACCTTCAGCGGCTCCTTGCTGAAAACCCTGACAAGATCCTGGAGGAATCAGTTTACTGGCCAGCTCTGTGCCAGGCTATCCATAGTACAGCCTCAGAGGTACTTGGCCAGTCAAGGAGAGGCCACCAGGATTGGTTTGAGTGCAACTCAACCGAGATACATACACTTCTAAAAGCAAAGCATGAAGCCCATAAAGCTCTTCTGTCCTGCCCTACATCTGTTACCCGGAAAGCCACCTTTACTGCAGCTAGAACAGTGACCCAGTGAGCACATGAAGGCACATGAGATCCAAAAGCTGACACACTGTAACAACACCCAGGGTTTCTACAATGCCATCAAAGCACTGTATGGTCCCAAGAGGCGGGCAATTGCTCCAGTCCGATCAGCTGATTGCTCTGCACTCCTCAAGGACCACCATGAGATCTTTGCCTGTTGGGCAAACCACTTTGAAAATCTCAACCACACTAACCCTGTCAACCCACACATTCTGTACAATCTCCCAGACCTGCCACCAATCATGAGCCTCGACACCCCACCATCTGACTCTGAAACCCAGCAAGCCATTGCGGGCCTAAAGAATAACGAAAGCGCTGGACCTGATGGCATCTCTGCAGTGGTTTTCGAACACGGAGGTTATCTCCTCACGCACCGACTGCACCTCCTGATTCAAAACATCTGGTAACATGGGACTGTCCCGCAGGATTGGAAGGATGCTAGCATTGTTGTTATTTATAAGGAGAAAGGGGACAGAGCAGCCTGTGGGAATAGCCGAGGAATCTCTCTCCTCTCTACCGCAGGAAAGATTTTGGCCAAAATCATGCTTGGCAGGCTGGTCAAGCACATCTCAGAAGCTGTGCTTCCGGAAACTCGGTGTGGCTTCCGGAAGACTAGATCCACCACTGACATGATCTTTGTTTTAAGGCAGCTAATGGAGAAGAGCAGAAAACATCACAAGGACCTCTACATAGCCTTCATCGATCTCAGCAAAGCCTTCAACACTGTCAACCATGAGTTACTCTGAAAACATCTCTCCAAACTTGGGGTGCCAACCAAGTTTCTCTGCATCCTCCAGCAGCTGCATGATGGGATGCAAGCCAGAGTGCTCATCGGACAACTCCAGTCAGAGCTCTTCAACGTGAACGCTGGGGTGAAGCATGGCTGTGTCTTGGCTCCAGTGCTTTTTAACATCCTCCTCTCTGCCATCACGTGCCTCTTCCACCGTGGCATGGGACATGAAGATGCTGTACATATGGAGTACTGCCTAGATGGAAGCCTCTTCAACATCAGATGGTTCCCGGCCCACACAAAGACAAAAATCTGTCAGATTTGTGAGCTTCAGTATGCTGATAACTGCACTGTACTAACTCACAGCTCAGTCTCTATACAGCATGCCCTCAACACCATTTAGTCGGTACCAATCCTTTGGTCTTCAGATCAACATTAAAAAAACTGAGGTCATGTTACAACTCGCTACCCCAACTTCCACATCCCCCAGCGCTCACATTATTGGCACTGCACTAAACTTAGTGGACCATTTCACCTACCTTGGCTCCACTTTGTCCTCAAACTGCTCTCTTGACACTGAAGTGCACACCTGTATCAAGAAAGCATCATCATCTTTTGGTTGCCTACACAGCAGGGTCTTTGAAAACCGAAACCTGAAGATCTGTACCAAGATTGCCATGTACAATGCAGTATGTCTCTCCACTCTGTTCTACGGGGCAGAGTCATAGACCCCATACCGCCGGCACATTACTACCCTGGAGGCCTTCCACATCCTCTGCCTGCAAAAGATCCTTGGCCTGTCCTGGGAAGATCGAATTCCCCACACAGACATCCTTAAAAGCACCAATTCCATCTGCATGGAAGCGGCTGTGGCGAAGAAATCTTCGGTGGATTGGACACACCATCTGCATGCCTGACAACCGCCTACCCCGCCAGGTCCTCTATGGCCAACTGAGAGGTGCAAAACGTTCTGCTGGGGGGCAAAAGCGGCGCCTCAAGGACGACACCAGGGACCTCCTAAAGCGAGCCAACATCAACCCCACGCAGCTTGAAACTCTGGCACTCAACAGACCAACCTGGCAGATCACTTGTGAAGATTTTATACAGCAAAACTGTACAAATATCTTGGAGCCACTTTGAGGCTGAAAAAGTTTCCACTGCCAAGGTCAATGAAGTAGTTAATAATAGTAGTAGATAAATTCAATATAATTTATATTTGTGTGTGTGTGTGTGTGTGTGTCCTCCCCTCCCTTGGAGCAAGCGTCATCATCAAACATGATGGACAGCTAATATGCGTGTGTATTATGTATTCAGGATACCAAAAAAAAAAAAAAATAAATAGAACTGCATTCTGTTTGTGACAGAAAAAAAAAATACACATGATCACATTAAGTACATTTGTGAAAAATGTGGATTTTACAGGATTACATTTTTAATGCAGGGAGAGAGGCTGCGCAGTCGAGTCCTCGATCACCCGCTCTTGTTGGTTAATTTCAATAAGTTAAGTGGATAACTGCTCACAGTTTATCTCAATGGTTGGCCAGTTTTTAAGTTTTTGCTTGCCAACGTTAAATGAGAAAGGTCATTGGTATGTGAGGGTCTTAGTGTGCTCACTTTGGAAAGTGACTGGAAGGGATGGATGCTGACTTATTTGGTACATCTTCACTGGAGGATTTATTCATTCATTTTGAAAAATATTTCCAAAGAAATGTGTGAGCTGTCAAACTCATCCAAACTGCTTTTTACGATATGAGGAGCGAGCGGTTTAGCATCACCTGCAACTTGTAAGTAAATACTTCATTAATTCTTGTCATGAATCACCCATGACTGTACTATTTAAATGCCATCTTATTAAATTTGTCACCAGAATGATTAATTCAATTAAATTAATAAATAATTACACAAATAAACTTTTTTTGCCTGTTGACGTCATGTATCATTGCGTTAAAATCATCACTGTATGCATGTGTGAGACAGATGGATAGAGGCTAAGATTTTTTTTCACCTTTCACTTGTAAAAAACACTGGTCATGTGGATAGGTTTGACAACTTGAAGCTATCAAAAGTTTTCCCCCATGAAATGATCTATTTATTTATTAATGTGATCTCCATAAGGAGTTGCCTTTTGGAACAATCTGAAAACAGATTCCTTTATGCAACGAAGCAATTGTTTCAAATGGAATCTATCCATCTATCCATCCATCCGTCCATCCTTCCTTCAGGGACAGTTCAATCACATGGCCTTCAATCCATTCATCCATCTATCCATCTCTGCAGCATGGCGTACAAGTGGTGAGCACGTCTGCTTCACAGTTGTTGTGCTTTGAAATTAAATTGCAGATGCTCAGGCTTCCTCTGGCATTCCAAAACCATGCATATTAAACAACCATAAGACAGAAAAAAAACTGTAAAAAAAAAAACAAATTAAAAAAAAAAACACCTCAT